ATGGACCCTGCTGCAAGAGCCAGGGGACAGACAGGAGGGAGAGTCGGGGCAGCCAGACCCTGGCAGCAGCCTTCCAGGAAGACGAGAACTTCAGACGGCACAAGGAGGAGCTGGATCTGAATGGGAGGGGGCGTCCAAAAGGAGGGGCAGGACAGGCAGAGAGGTTGGAATGCCCAACCCAGAAAACAGGGCCTGCTCACTGGAGCAGCAGGGCCAGGCCTGGGTGGGCAAGCCCAAGGCCCCCTTTTGCCCCCCAGTTCCCTTTTCTCTCTCATGGCTGGGAAGAGACGGGGGCCCCGGGGCAACACCAGGCAGCTTGGTGCCTTAACCTTTCTCTGCTAATTTTGTCTGTGCCGGGGAGCCGGCAGCATCCGCCTTGCAGAGAGGAAGGAACGGGGTGTAAGAATAGGACTTGGGCATATTTTCATCTGAGGTGCAGCTGGAATGGCCTGCAGGAACTATCTGGTCCAACCTCCTATCTTACAATTTGGAAAACTGAGGTCCAGAAAGGGCCAGGGGTTTATCCAATGTCACACAGCGCCTGGGGGCAGAGCCCAGTTCCTTTCCACGGCCTAAAGCTGCCTCCCCGACCTGCTCTGGGGCCCTGCTAAGGGGTAGACCCTGCTGTGAGGAGGGAGTGCTCAGGGTGGGGAGAGGGTGAAGGGACCGTCGTCCCTGGAGACCCAGCTTGGCCTCTCACACACCCTTGACTCAGCTCCAGCCTCTCAGCTCTAGAGATGTGACTTGGATTAGGCATTAAAAGAAGGGAAAAAAAGTAGCCCTCGAGGCAGATGACAGCAGCTCCTGCTCAGCAGGAATGAATCCGCCTGTCCCCCACGCCTCTTGGAGGAATCACACTCTTGTTTCCAGGAAGGTGTCCTGGAATCCTGGAGCCTCTGCCAGGAGAGACCGCCAGGGCTGTTCAGCCTCCACTAGGGGAAGCTCAGGGTGTCCCGCCTGGTGATCTGCTCTTCCTGAAGGTCGCTGTGTTGGGGGCAGCACTCTCTCCCACCCACCGACCTTCACTCCTGATTGCTCAGGCTGGAGGTGATGGGGCAGAGCTGAGACAGGGACCTGGTCAGAGAGGAGTGAGACCAGACCGGCAGTTCGCAGTCCTGGGGCGCTTTTTAAAAACTTAGCCTCACCAGCCTCACCCACATACATTCTGATTCCGTCTCTCTGGGGTAGAACCCTGGAAGCTGTTTTTTCAAATCCCCCCAAAGGATTCTGGTGCTGGACCAGGGCTGAGAACCACTGAAAGATGAACAAAAACATCAGGACACATTGGATGTCAGCTGGACGTGAGAGGAGGAGAGTGTGGATGCCCCCCAGTTTCTGACTTGCAGGGCCCTTGGGAACAGGGGTTCAGAGGAGGGGGCTCAGGAGAAAGAAGTGGAGCCAGTTTGGACCAGGTGCCAGGCGGGGTGCCCATGTGCTGTCTCAGTGGCTCCGTCTAGATGTTTGAATCTTCCAGCTTGTAACTGCCCCCAGCTCCCCTTGCCACCTCCCTGCTAAAGCCGCCCAAGACCCCGCCTCCAGCTCCCTGCCTCCGGAGCTGTGACCGCCACTTGGAGAGGGTTGGCAGGTTCCCAAGGGAGCTGGGGCTCTGATCACTGAACAACATCTGGGTGCCCACCTCACACATGATGTCTGCCCTGGACAGCGCAGGACACTAGGAAGGTGGCATGCCAGCCTATTCCTAGTTCTTTTTTGGTTAGAAGTGTGTCTGGGTTGGGGGCAGGGGAGGTGGGGACTGACATCCTACATCCTTATCATTTATTTAGTGTCCGATGAGAACTGATTAGAGGTCTGAGTTAATCTGGTGGATGTCTCTAGAAAGGTGCCACAGAGCTCTGGCCTAGTGTGGATGAGGTTGCAGGGGGCAACAGAGTCACCAGCCATCAGATTCTCACAACCTGGAACAAGGATCAGAACAAATAAAGAAATGAAACAGGAAATTTGAGGCTCACTTGAGCCCTAAATCCAACTGAGTAGACAGTGGTGGGGAAGGGCTTGGGGCTTTCCTTGGCAAGAAGTGCTATATGATCACTTACATGATCTCTGGCTGCATTAACAGAGGTAGACCCTGTAGAAAGAGGGAGGGGATGGGTCAGCTCTTTGGCACTGCTCAGACCACAATCAGCAGGCAGATTCAGTTTGTATCCCTGCACTGCAGGAGAAGACAGGCCAAGTGGAACAAGTCTGGGGCAGGGTCTGTAATTTGGAGCCCCTGGGAAGGATCTGAAGGAGAGGGAATGGTAACTTCAGAAGAAAAATGCAGGGAGGATATGGATGTGGCTTCAGACCTCTGGCAGGGCCAGCCCAGGGAGAGGGCACCACAGGTTCTTTATGGCCGGGAGCCAGACCACAGGAAAGAGAAGAACTTGCTCACAATTGGGGCTGCCCCGGATAGGCAGAGCTGCCTGGGAGAGCTGGTGAGCTCTCCATCACAGGAGGCATGCAAGCTGAGGCTGGAAGCTGTGGCTAAGGTGACTTTTCAGGTCCCTTAGAGCCCAAGAGGCTGTGGCTGTGGCTCCAGCAGGCATGTGAATAGGGTGAGGGGAGCCAGAGGAGCAAGATGCTGACCTGGGGGAGCTGAGAAAGGCTTCCGGGAGGAGGTGGCATCTAAGGATGAGGGGAATGTCAGCTTCATGGGATCACAGTCCAGGCAGAGGGAACTGCGTGGGGAAAGTGGATGGACTGTCGGGGCAGGAAGGTGGTTCTAGGTGGGGTGGGGCAGTGAGGTGATGAAGGGGGTGTGGTGAGAAGTCCTGAGGAGGAAGAAGTAGGACTTGGCCAGGAAGGGTCCCCTGGAGCACCCCCTCAAGGGTTCACTGGGAGCCAAGGCTGGTTTGACCAAGGCTGTAAGGTCAGGCCCTGAACCCTCCAATTGGCTTTGGGGCCAGTCTGAATGCCACTTCCAGGGTGGATGCCAAGCTGGACACTCCAGTCAGCCCCTGGCCTCAGGTCTCCCTTTCCCCAGCTCTACCCTCATAGATGGAGAGCCTGGAGGAGGGTATGGGCATCTCTCCTGCCAACCCTCGAGTCCAACCTTCAGTCCTCTGGGAATGCTGTGGAAGTAGCAGGTCAGAGCTGGCTGGACGCCTGGAGAAGATATGTCCCCATTTTACAGATGGGCAAGCTGAGGCCAGAGAGGGATCCCAGGGGTCTGTGGCAGTGACGCTCATCTCTGGTAACTTAGGTGTTTTGGGCCCTAGCTGGTCATTACTCTTTCTGGGAAGGGAGCTGGAAAATTCTCCTACCCCTTCTCGTCCACCCCTGTCCTTCTCTGGGCAACAGAAGGCCAGAGAAGGCAGGGCGCCGAATGGCAGGAACTCCTAGGGCCACCTCCCAAGCTGGCAGGCTGCCCAGGAGGAGGAAGTGGGCTCCTCCAGGCTGTACTCTGGCTCAACTCCTAGGCCTGGCCTAAAAGTGGTCTAAAAGTGTGGGAATGGCTCCTAGACTTTCTGCATCTATGGGTGGGCTTGGTGGAGGGAGGGGGGCCACCTGGTAGCAGCCACAGGCACTTGTGGGAGCGAGGGTTTATTTTAGCTGCTGGGGGAGGAGGTGTGATCTCTTGATGAGAGGGGGGCCCCCCCAAGCCGCCTCCACATAGCTCCCAACCAACCCCCTCTCTTGGTCGGTCCCCACTCTGGTGGGGTAGCGGGACCCCAGAGCCCAAGGGCACAGCCTTTACGGAACATGCTGTGTGTCTGCCCTTCCCCAGCCCCGCTCCCTGCAGCCGGGTCACTGTCCCCATTTCATAGAGGAGAAAACAGACCCGGAGGCAAGTCCCTCGGCCAGTCAGTGTCTGTGCTGGGCCCAGAACCTGGCCCTGCCCCAGCAGGCTAGCAGGGCCCAGACTGCCAGGTCCCTTAGTTTCCCCATCCCCCTGATCTCGGCCTGCCCCTGTCCTCGGCCTGACGTGAGAGAGCAGCGAGGTGAGGGCCGGGGTGCTGAGCCATGAGGCGGCGTGACAGAGCCCAAGAACCCCAGTCCAGGGGAGCTGGTCCTGCCCTGGGTGTCCCGGCCACGCCTGTGGAGAGGGACCTTGGCCTTGCCAGTGGAGTGGCCTGAGCCCAGGGACTCGGGGCGTATTAGGCGGACAGTAATGAGCAATGAGCATGGCCAGCACGCGGGGAAGTCAGAGGTGTAATTACCCCACCCCACGCTGGGCTGGCTTTGGTACAGCTGCTCTTGGGGCAGCGGAGTAGGGCCTGCAGCTGCACCTGAGGCCTAAGGCAGGCCCCCCAGCCAAGTGACAATGTGACTGGCCTCTTGTGCCTGCCAGGCTCAGCTCTGGGCCTGGAAGGAAAGAGAATCAAGGTCCAATGTCAACACTGACAAGGAGAGAGTATCCCCAAGATGGCTGAGTGGCAACGCTGGCACCTCGCAGAGCCTCACACAGGCAATGTCTGTCATGGCCCGTGTCTGAGCCATCCTACGTTTTGCGGGGGAGGTGTTGGTGGTACCCAGGCCTGGGAGAGCACCCAGGCCTCCCCCTCCAGGGCCCTCCCCAGAAAGGAAGCTTGGGAACTCAGGGCGCCATCTTAATTAAAACCATCGGGCCAGAGAGAATGCTTCCAGGCAGCCTGTCTCAGGCAAGGTCTGTGAGTTGGGGCCACTGGCCAGGGGACCAAGCCCTGAGGTTTGCTTGCCCACCTGTGGCAGGGCCTCCCAGCTGCACCCTAGGGTGAGGGGTGCAGCTGGGAGGACCCCCGTCCTGTGGGGAAGGGGCAGGAGTCCTGGCCTGGAGGTGGAGACGTGGTCCTGCTGCCAACTTGACAGGGTCCCCAGGGATCCTCCAGTCTCACTGTGGCTGGGAGCTGAGGGCACGGCCAGGTCTTGTCCCCACCAAAAGGACTGAGGGGGATAGTCAGGGCCCTGGAGCTGCAGCCTGCGAGTCTGCTATATATGGATGCTGGGCAGTTTGGGGTCCCAGGTCCAGCGGGACCCAGTGGTCCTACCACAGGTCCACTCACATGCACATACCCCTCTGCAGGCCAAGGACAGCGATGATGATGATGATGTCACTGTCACCGTGGACCGAGACCGCTTCATGGATGAGTTCTTCGAACAGGTGGGAGCAGCACACCCCACCTCTCCCCAGACACGGGCAGGGCTCTTACACACCTGTGCCTGGCTCAGCAGTCCATAGGCACCAGTTAATGAACCCATTTTGAGGGTAAATAGACTGAAGCTCAGAGGAGAGCCAACTTTGCGATTGGAACTGCCCACTCCTCCCCTCCCTGGTTTAGAAGGATACTCAGAGCAGCCAGCCTCACCTCACACCGCTCCCAGCCTCTCCCTGAACCCTGATCTCCAGCCCCACTCTGGGCGAGCCCTGGCCCAAGAGGCCCTGCCTGGATTCTCTCCCCCTGGCCCCCTGGCCTTGGTCCACAGGTGGAGGAGATCCGCGGCTTCATTGACAAGATCTCGGGGAACGTGGAGGAGGTGAAGCGGAAGCACAGCGCCATCCTGGCCTCCCCCAACCCTGACGAGCGTGAGTGTGTAGGTGTGAGGGCCAGGTTTCAGGCCCCAAAGCCCTCCAGGAAGGTGCTGCTGCCAGGGAGGGGCTCCTGGAACCCCAGCACCCTTCACTGTTGGTGAGCTGAGGGGCACCTGGGCCCAGCCAGGTTGGGGAGGGCTCCGTGGGAAACCTCAGGAAACAGCTGTCCCAGGCCCGGGGTTGGGGGTCAGTGCTCCGTATCACGGCTGAACCAGGGGCCTACGCGAAGACTTGCGGGGTAGGAGGGGTGGGGTCAAGTGGCCAGCCCTGCCCTCCCCAGATGAGCTGGCTATTTCCTAAGGCAGCTGGGCTGGCTGCAGCCCTGGGATGCTGGGAGGGAGCTGCCTCTGATAAATAGGAGGCCTCTCAGCCCAGCCCCTCCTTTTCCCTTGTCTCCCGGGGGAGCAGATGGCAGCTCTGAGGCGTCAGCACTGTGGGAGGGCAAGCCGGCCAAACAGGCAGAGCTTCCGGAAAGAGCTGGCAGCCCTGGCACCTGGCCACTGGTACCCCGGAGCTGGGCATCGTCAGGGCTCAGGAAGTCACCTCTCCCTCCTCACAGGGAGCCTGTGTGTGTCTGCATTGCACTCTGTCCCCAGACAGGTCCCCTGACCCAACAGTCACAATTCCTGTTGAGGTGTTGATTACTACGTGATTATGTACCAGGCTGGCAGCATGCAGGCGCCAGGTCCCCTCCTCTTGAGGGGGCTCACCCTCAGCCCCAGGGGGCCAGAGACAGGGCTGGGAGCATGTGCAGCTGCTTCCCAAGGCTTGCTCACTTCCTCTGTTGCTCCACCAGCTCCTCCGGAAGGCACTGCCTGTGGAGCCCCATGGGAAAGCATGGGGGCCGCTTCCTGCCCTGGCTGCTCTCAGGTGGTCAAGGACCAGCACCCAGGGCTTGATTTCAGGCTCGTTTCCAGCACTGCCTCCCTATCCATGGCCCCTGACCCCAGGGCCACTGGCATCCACAAGCACCCAGAAAAAATCTTTCCACAGACCCAGTTTGTGCTTGAACCCGAGGCCAGTGCCAAACCAACTAAGCCTAGTGCCAGGCCCTTGGAAGGCAAAATGAGTGATCTGGGAGCCGGGAGACTGTGCCAAGAAGGGGTGGAGAGGAGAGAGGGGGCACCCAAAGCAGAGCATGCATCCAAGGCAGCCATCATGCTTCCCTCTCCCCAGAGGTTTGTCTGGGGGCAGCATGTGACATGGCTTGTCTGTGGGCCCATGTGTATCTGGGTCAGTGTGTGTCCCTGGTGGGTGACTCCCAGTGAGGGTCAGAGGGGGCTGCCTGTGGGAACAGAGGATATAATGTGCTGCACAGTTGGCCTCTCATTTGCTGGAAGGCGGGTGGGCGTGGGGCAATGGAGCTGCCCAGCTCCCCCTCAGCTTCCTTGTGCCACCTTCAGTACTTCTCCCCTTGTCATAGTCAGTTGCCACCAGTTCAGAATCGCCACCCATGAGCTGAGCAGTCAGGACTCAGCTGTCGGTGCTAATGGGCACTCCCCAAGGGGAAGGGGCTCCCTGTGAAGGGTTCTAGGGCAGAGGCAGAACAGAGTTAACAAGCAGGCACAGGAAAGATGGCAATGAGTGGCGGGCCTTCCTGGGCCAAGGCTTGCTCTGCCTTCCCTGGGGGCTGCCATCCGGGCTGGGCTATTTTGGATCTGAGCAAAAGAGGCTGAGACGTCAGAGCAGCTGGTAACCAAGTTTTCCTTTGTTTGTACAAATCAGGCGCCCTCCTCCGCGCCTCAAAGCCCCCCGCTCCATCTCACTCATATTCCACTTGGGAGGTGGCCCCCACCTGATGGACCACTGTAAATGCCCTTCCCCAATCCCCTAGAGGAGAAGCCCAGCCCCAGAGGCAATCAGAGGGTGCTGAGAAAGACTGCAGCCAGGAGCTCAGTCCTGGTTTCTCCAGAGAGTGAAGTCCTGAGGGCTGCCCTGAGGCTGAGGCATTGCTGGGACCCACTGTTCCATCCCATACTCCAGAGGGAAGCAGCCATCTTGTGCCACTTTGCCAGCCAACCCCTCTCAAGGAGTGGAGTGAGCTGGGCACCCTATGGCCTCTGCCAGCTTCAGGGAGATGGTTCCAGTTGGCACCAGGGTCAGAAACACCATACTGCTGCCCTCCCCCCACTTCACCCTCATAGGCCTAGGTGCCTGCAACCTCCAGAGCCAACTGTGCCCCAGGAGGCCCGCCTCTTTGAAGCTGTTCTCCGTCAGCACCCACCCAGGCCAGGCGCCTCCTGCCCCCACTGGGCACTTAGCAGTTGGCCTCCACTCTTCAGCACCTGGGGAGGAGGGCTTTATGAGTAGAACAAGGTCTGCCCCACCCCGGGTGCTTGATGGGGGGCTGGCTTCCTCCTGGCCTCATCAGCCTGTTGGCTGGATGCTTACCCCCCTGAGCCACCAGGTAATGCTAGGTGAGCCTGCACCTCCCACCTTCGCCTCAAGCATCAAGTAAACATTCCCTAGTGCCAACTCCAGCATCACCAGCTGCTCCACAATTATTTCTGCCTTAAATTTAGACCCATCTGTTATCTGCAGGGGTTGGGGGAGCCAGTGAAGGAGGAAGGGAGGCTCCTTGGAAGGCAACACGAGGCGGGGTGCAGCTGCACCTGGTGCGGCCCTGGCCCAGGGTTGGAGGGGCAGGCCAAGCCTCAGCCAGGGCAAGAGGGGAAACCCAGGACCCAGGGTCTGCCCAGAGCCCCCAGTCAGCCTGAGGCTGAACGTGGGGCACGAGGAGCCCAGGGTGCGGAGCCCCACCTCTTCTCCCTCCCCAGAGACGAAGGAGGAGCTGGAGGAGCTCATGTCCGACATAAAGAAGACAGCAAACAAAGTGCGCTCTAAGCTCAAGGGTGAGTCTGGGCTCCAGGCCTTGTCTGGGGGATTGGGCACACACAGCCCTGGGGTTTCACTAACTCTGAGGGTACTTTGGGTCTTGCTTTCCTTTATGAGGGCGCTGTCAGGTGCCCTCCACTCAACAGCCACCTGGCAAGGCCTGTTCATGCCTGGCTCTGGGCTGGGCCTCAGGACAGATGCCTGAGGCTTCATTGAGGGCATGCTCCACTCCGGGCTGTCCCCCGTTTCAGCTAAAGAGGGTTAAACGAGTGGCCAGCACTCCCTGGTCCCACACAGAAGCCCCCATGCACTTGTGTGAGCACAGACGTGCATGCCACACGAACACACAGGCCTAGGGGCCCATGTCCTGCAGGCCATGGCCACCTGGCCCTCCCCACTCTGGGCATGGCACCATGTTGGGTGCACAGCCTTCCCCTGAGCAGGAGAGAGATGGGGTGGGCCTGAGCCATCAGGCCCAGCACATAAGTGCTCACACACACACATCTTCATATGTGTCTGAGGCCTCACAGGTGGGTGTGCGTATGTACACACACCTACACAAGCTTCACACTTGGAAGAGCCTCTTCCATCAGTGCCTGATGCCCTCTCTTCCTCTGCTTCCCATGTGACCTCACTCATAGACCACACAAGACCCCCCAGGGGTGGTCCTGAGCGAGATCCGGGGTGTGC